TAGTGTTAATACATACAAAACTATGTTTCACATGCAGTCACATAGAAAAAAAGAGTACAAAACAGTTTGAATTACTTTTTTTGAATAGTCCCTTATTTTTATTACTGTAAATTTTTACTATACGTAGGAGTATAAAACAAGTCTAAGGGATTAAAAGTGAAAGTTTGGATGAAGCTGATGCCTAAAATAAGTCACTCAATCTAAACACCAAATTCAGCAAAACTTAAATTGGAGAGATAAAAAAGAAGTATCAATTTCCCTTTTTTTGGCTGGGGAGGATTTCAAGATTATTTTTTGCTCAAAATAGACTTAAAGGCTCATAGGCAGTGTCTAAAATAGATGTACTTGATACATGTTTATCTTCTCTTATATTTGATAGGAATCCTGGTTTTTCACTTCTAATACAGTTGCATAATTTAGTATTCAAGCAAGTTATATTTGTAATGACAATTAATTTGCATCCACAGAATGAATGCATGGCCTTAAATTTATCCTCAATGCACTTTAAAGTAATTCTGCTAACTAAATAACATCATACTAGGTAATCTTCATTTATTTATATTGACTTAAATTGATTGAGCCAGGGGTTTATTTTAATACTGTGGTTTGTGTCTAATTAAAGACCTAAAATTACATGGGCGTACTAGTTAATTAATTACCACCCATCCAATTACCCATCAAGCTAAAAAAAATTGAAAGCTTTAAAGAATTGAAAATTTCAGAAGCAAATAGAACGTATTATTCTTCATTTCTTTTTTGCTTAAATTTTTTACATTTTGAGTAAAACTTGTCTATACTTAAAGTCACACCAACATCATTTTTCAGAATTATTATTGTCCCCCGCTTGAAAAGTGGGGGATATTAATTTGGGTTTGTCCGTCCGTCCGTCTGTCCGTCCGTCTGTCCGTCCGTCTTTCTGTCTGTCTCTGACACTTTCGTTTCCATACGATATCTCGAGAACCCTTTGAGCTTTTGCAATGAAATTTAGCATAGCAACTCCCTATGAACTAAAAAAGACCCCTATTGATTTTGAGGTCAAAAGGTCAAAGGTCAAGGTCATAAATAAGCAAATTCTGTCTGTTAAAACACTTTCGTTTCCACACGATATCTCGAGAACCATTTGAGCTATTACAATGAAATTTTATATAACAACTCCCTGTGGCCTAATGAAGAGTTCAAGACCCCTATTGATTTTGAGGTCAAAAGGTCAAAGTTCAAGGTCGTAAATTTATACATTCTGTCTGTATGTAATACTATCATTTCCGGGCGATATTTCAAGAAGATTTTGAGCTTTTGCAATGTAATTTTATACCAAAACTCCCTAGGACGTCTCTCGCCCCTCTCAAAGTGCCCAGCCCGTTTGTTTTATTAGTATTTATAGTATTACATGTCGCTATTTTTAGCGCAGGGGCATGAGGAGAGTTATTGCGTATAAAACAGGTTCTCGGCGGACTTTATGTTCTTATTACATCTATTAGAACTGTTTAATAAAGGCTAAATAAATCAAACACCATGGATTGTGTAAAATTTTGAGAATACCGAACATGAAAACATGAATATATACATGTATGTGACTTCTATTCTGCATATACTTCACAGCGCGTAAAGCGATTCCATAGTCTAGTGGTTATGTCTCTCGCTTCAAATGTGAGCGGTCCCGGGATCGAATCTCGGTCAGACCGTTCTTTTTTTTTTTCTTTTTTTTAAAAATACTTTTTTTTTACTAAATGATAGTATTCAGCATGTGAAATGAAAAATTTATGAGGTTATAAAATCATCATTACAGTGTGATAAACATTCCATATAAAAAAATCTTCTATACACATAATAAAGAATAAGCAATCAAATCTTTATATGCATATTGACATACATGTATTTTATTTGCTTCAGTATACATGTATACATTTAATAATTCTATAAATTCAGTCAGGGGGAGCTGACTTTTTCCCTAAGCGGGGGACACGAATTCTCTGAATTAGCTTGTTTTGTTTTTAATTTGCCAATTGACTATAGATATAATGTTAATGGACTTGTGAATTTCACAGGTTTAGTAATCTTTGTACCAGTAAGTGTGTAGGAAATTTGAAGACACCTGTTGGACACTATATCCAAGGTTTCTCAACATCGGCCATTGATTTATTACCATGCTTTGTTTATGTGGAAAACAAACGTCAGCAATCATGCATTATTTATTACCACCAGGGATAAAATTGCATCAAAGCAGGGCAAATACATGCATGCACTAGTTGAACAGAATGGTAATTAACTTGAAGTCTGCAGGCACTCATTTCATCTTTTTGTATGAAATATTGAGTAAAACAACAGCTAGCTAAAAAGTGTAAGGGGAAACAACTCAAGGAACTTAATTTACAAAGATAAACTAAGAATAGCTGCATGGAGTTTACTTATAGCTATACACCATACTGATTCAAAAAAAGCTGAGGCTTAAAATGTAGAACTAGTCAGTAATACAGGTCATAAGTGGTGAGGGATGACACCTTTAAATCATGGGAAGATAATATAAATACTGAAAAATCTGCCTGTAGTAGCTGGAGAAACAAGACTTCAAAAGCATATATGCAGTGTGCATTGTATGTTAATTGTTTTGAGCAATATACTAGTAAAAAGAAACATTAGACTTTTATCTACTCAATGCTTCATGTATCTTGCTATCTTTTGTAGTGGTATAAACATGAACAGATTTAATACATGTATCTGATAATTTATTTAATCTTTTTGTTTGTCTGCAGTTGAATGTATATGTAAATTCTTCTATTTTCAGGAGAAAGTTATGAACAGATGAATGGTTATGGAACAATCACAAAGAAGAAGAATAAGATAACAAAGTTTATGGGTGCCAATGAACCAGTGGCAGGAGCAAAACCCAAGCTTCTTATTGGACTTCCAGAGGATTTCCGTCGTGTATCGGCCATTATTGATGTTGATATTGTTCCCGAGCAACATCGCCGTGTGAAATTAATGAAAAATGGTTCAGACAAACCTCTCGGATTTTATATCAGAGACGGAACTAGTGTTAGGGTAACTCCACACGGATTGGAGAAAGTCCCAGGAATTTTCATATCAAGGCTTGTGCCGGGTGGCCTGGCCGAAAGCACTGGACTTTTAGCCGTCAATGATGAAGTTCTAGAAGTGAACGGTATCGAGGTAGCAGGAAAGACTCTAGATCAAGTGACGGACATGATGGTGGCAAACAGTTCGAATCTGATCATCACTGTCAAGCCCGTGAATCAGCGATTGACTCTGGCCCCCCACAGAGGGGGTCCCGGGAGACAATCCCAAATGTCCCAGGCGTCACATGCCTCCTCCCAGCACTCCTTCAGTTCCCAGCGGTCATCCAAGTCCTTCGACAGCGACCATATTCCAGACCAGGACGACGATGATGACGAAGTACAAGATCATTTACTGCCCGCTACGAAGAAGAGCCCCAGCAATACTGAAGTCGTCACGCTATAAAGAGATCCATTATTTGTCATCTGTATGTTTTTTTTTAATGTTGGTGTCCATTATTTTTCAATGGAAAAAATTGTATTTTCGAAAGTTGAATATAAATATTTGCATATTACCAAGGGATTACATTTGTGTATTTGTATTTTAAGCGAATTTTATGCTATGTCATTTTATTCGTGTACCAGTGTGTATTTTAAAGTTGGCCCTTTGCACACTTTTTATATATGAGCCATGTATTTGTGGTATTAAGTTATTCCATAGTTTTGCAAATCCTTTATTTCAGCAGCAATGCCTTTATCACTATGCAAAATGTATTCCTGTATACATGTATGTTTTATTCCGTCTTAGCAACATTGGTTTGTGTATGCATCATAACATTTCTCTACCACATGGATATACAGCTTTTAGTGAAAAAAAATATCTTTTATGCTGTATTTATTTTTTGGCACTTTTTTTCAAATGACCAATGGACTTTTAAGAAATGAGAATATTTTAATGTTTTGGCTTTTAATATTTGTTGAACTCTGTAGAACAGAGGTGAGTTGTGCATTTGACAATTTTTTTAGACATATCTTGCCTTGAATGCCTTCAATAGATATTTTCTAGTCCTTTTAGTGCAAGAAGTTATTAAATTTTTTTTCTAGCTGAAGTCATTATGGTTACTGTAGCATTTTTATGTATTTTATGGCATGAATATTTGTTTTGAAATTCCTGCATAATTGATTTTTCATGATCAAATCTCACATTATGTTCATTTTTCTTAAATCTCTAGTTTAAAATTCTAATGTAAGAAGAAAAAACCCAGTTCAATCACAACATTACTGATAACATATTTAGATGATTTGAAATGTTGATAATGGAATTCCCTCCATATATATGATGTATAAAATGAATATGATGATCAAGTGCTTACAAACTTAGTAAGGAATGTGTGGGGACCAAGAAAATGTACAATTTTAAATCTAGATGTATTATATCCACTGATCAATGATAAGTATTTCCACTTACTACTAATTTGGACCAATTATTTGATATATTTCAATATTATTATATATAAGGAAATGTTCTGTAAAGTACTGTAAACAAAGTACTGTAATTAAAGTAGCAAGTCTTTCATATTAATCTATAATCATGAAGTGTAATCAACATAATATGCAATATAGATCAAGTGTTGGTGTATATTTCTGTATACCAATTAAATTTGTGACACATGAATCTACTTGGTTTTAATCATATCATGAGATTTTATTGAGGAAATGAATTTAGAATTTAAGGCTAAATCATAATATGGTATACCTGTTATTAGAATTATAGGAATAGAATTGTTATTTGCAGCTAATAGATACCGTGAAAAGGTTTCTCTACCATGTTGTATGACTGATTTCTCACCAAGGGGATATTGTCAATAATCTATAATTTTGAGAATTTGTACTATACATATATAATATTGTAAATATTTTCTGATTATCATACATATGGTAAATTTCATTTAATATCTAGACAAATTTGCATGTATAAATATTGTATTTAAAGTGTCAAGTGAAAAATCAGTATAATTTCTATGGATCTTGCATTCATATTTGTCTTCCATCACAAGAAACTTTATTTTTATTGATGGGTTTCCAGCTATACATTCCTTGAGTGCATGGATGGCCTTTGGAACTATTTTGAATTTTTTGTAAACATTAATTTCTGATGCTATATGGTTGAGTTATTGAAAGTGTTTGGTCACAATGGGAAGTCATATATTGATAATGAATAAAATAAAAATAGTGCATCCTTGGTTTATAAAAGTGTAAAGTTTTAATAATGTTAAACCATTTTGATTCTCGAAATTATGAAATTTTTGGAAAGGGTCAAGAAAAAAATCTTAAAAGTTCCAGGGCCCAGAGGGTACTACATTGGTTGCATGTCAGTTATTTGTGTAATAAAATGCACCATTTTGTTATTACAAGTTGAAAATGCAATATTTGTTGTCGTGTATAACCAAAAATTATTAACATAATTATTGATATTGATTTTATTATTAAATAATTCTATAATATGAATTTTGAGTTTCTTTTTTTGTGCTTTCAACGTGAGTCAGTGTCAATTTTTTTTCCTGTTTGGAGTTATCTCGCTTTTTTTACTGGGAAAAAAAAGGAATCCCATTAGGAAAACCTCTGAATTTTATGTATATATCAATGACGCTCTCCTTTTGTTGTCAGTTGCTAAGTGTGACGTCACAATATACCCGGCGTTCTTGGGTTTCACCATAACTCAGAACTAATGTACGATACCTGGATTAAAACCCCAGACGAACATAAGAGCCACTTTACACAGGTGTCTGACAATAAAAAGACACACACGACTTTAAAACGATCAGGGATATTTATTGAAGTCGCGAAAAATGACAACTGTCGGAGTTGATCCTGTACACCAAGGGGCCTACCCGATGAAGATCCCCAGCTACTCTTACCAGTATCCCTCCCACCGCAGGGTGCAGCTCGCGGCGGTCAAGGAGGGGCTCTTCCACCCCCGACTCCCCAGCTTTAGGAGGATGGATATGGACACGGCCGGACATAAGCTCCCGGACGAGCACTGCCGTACCACTACAACTTGTGGACCAGGTCTGTCAATGAGTTTTCTATGTGTGACAAAAAATATGAAGAGCTAACAGATATCGATTTTGATCCAAGTTTTTTTTCTATCTTGCTTTGAATTATTAAAGAATTTATCACCCATTGAAGATTAGATAATTTCCATGCAGATCGGTAAATGAGCATTATCTCCGACGAGGACTGAGTTGCAAATAAATCTTGATGTCTTCTATGAATTAAATCCATTTGTATATATTGGGATTTTATTTGTTTAGAATTCTTGCCAAACTTTTAATTTGTTTTCCAAAGTATTGAAAGGTAAAATTCTTAAATATACATGGCATAACTGCCTACTTGATTTATCAGCCGGGTGTCCGTAATTTCTTACTGCCACTTTAAGAAATATTTTTGTCAAGCAGAGTTTCTTGAATGACGTGTCATTACTGTCATACACATATACATTGTTAATAGATTTAATCGCACAATGTAGAATTATGACCGTAATTCAAAATCTATCTCTTTAATCCAAAGGTTATCAAAGGATAATAAAACAAAACCATTTAAATTTATTTTAAAACATTTAGCGATAGTGTCGTTATTCAATCATTAACCAAGTCTACCATTCTGGAAGAAAAGTCTTTTAACTCGTTATCTCGTAGCATTTTATTCAAAATATTATCTGTCTAAATTAGTAGGTATCGACTTAAAAAGAAAAAAATAAAATACCTTTTCAAAATATTCTCCACTTAATACGTATAATACTTCCAGTGATCTTTAATAAACGTTGATTTGATTTTCTTATAACTTTTGATCTTGAATTAGACTTCTATACCGGTGCTTTTCTTGTCAGGAATCGGACATTCAATACAAAAACCAACAAATGGGATTGTATGAGCAACGCAATGTCTTTGTTATAATGATTAAATATTTTATGGGCATGTGAAAAACTTTAAATCCTTTTGCAATACAAAGAATTACAGAGACCGAGGAAATGTTCCGTTCGATCGACAATTAAATGCACAACCCTTAGCATTCATAAACAGAGAGTTTAAACAACATATACTTGCACTGAGCAGTGAGCAGTGAATTAAAAATTTTTACTTTGGTGGACGACATATCACTCCTAACAAAGAAAGAGGGGGGGGGGGGGGTTATGAAAATGAATAAACGGGAACTTTAAAAAATATGAACATAATTATATGCTTAACCGATTAATAGATAATGTTTAATAAATAATAGCTTTTTTCATCACATTTAATGTTCTTTAAATTAAATGTCAATGACTGCACCGAACTTAAGTCCAAGGCATTGATATACTGTACAGAATATAATTTATTCTTTAAAATTTTTGATAAGCGAATTCTTCGATCCTGCTTTCATTAATCATTACCGAAAAGCACTACCTGAACAAATGGAGATGAAAACTTTAAAATGTCGGAAATGAAAACTAACAAGTGTCGGAAATGAAAAGTCGAAAATTTCAAACAATTCCAGAATTGAAATGCAGCCTCTGCTCCTCAAATTTGTTAAATGAAATTTCTTGCATTTATTGGCTTATTAGAACAAGCATAATTATAATTTTAATTTGAAATTTAAGTTTAAATTTTGATATATATAAGATGTACCGGGAAATGTTAAAGGTATAAAATGTTTTTTATCAGATGATTTCCAGAGAGCCACGTCCACATTAATGGAGCCCCCGGTGAAGAATCTCTCCAGTCTGGTGAGTACAAGTCAGAAATCACCAAGACCGTATTCTAATTTTATTTTGAAAAATCGAATACTGTTTATACAACTCGTTTCTCAAAAGATTAGTTTGGTTTCTTCAAAAATAATTCCACGAACATGGCATAGACATATAGCAGTCAAAGGGGAGTGACTCTAATCTAGGTTTAGGTCGCTCATGGGAATTTTGTGTCACTCGAAATGAATTTGATGTCAGTACTATTTAATGTTTGAAGGTATTCATATTGTATAGTGCTCATTTGAAGACGGCCACCAAGGATAACTGAATGCAAATGAATTTTTCAACAAAATTAGCCATGCATATTTTAGCATTTTTACTGTTTCAAATTTGTAAGAAAAAAATTGTTCAAGTATAAAAACTGAGTACTGAATTCCACTGATTTATTTTAGGAAATAACATCAACAGGAAAACAGCTACATAAGCACTACACTACACCAGAAGAACTCAAGTAAGTGATCGGAAATGTAAAAAAATATGTTTAAGTGCCCATCTAAGTTAATGGAAATAAAAGAAAATTTAAATTTATTTTCAGACGTGCCCGCACAGAGTGGTCCGATTTCCTGAATAGGTCCCCCGAGAGGTTTAATATTAAGTTACCAGAACTCCCTAATAGCAAAGGTTTGTATGTCCTCTATAATCGTTACTTGCATATCCCCCCTCACCCCCCCCCCCCCCCCCAACGAGCATAAAATCAGCGTCATCATAATATTTATAAAAAAAAAACAACTTTTAAATGAATTTTTGATCAAATTTGTGACGATATCTGACAAGATTTTCCCTTTCCACAGATCAGCGATTTGTTGGATATGCTGTGCGATATCTACGACCTGAGGTCACACAGTCCTGGAAGGTAGGATGCGTAAAAATCATTTTCTATAAAGTTTAATAACTCAAATATGTTGTTTACAGATGTAAATAATTTAAGTTTTAACAATTTTCCACTTTGATTTAGTATACTCTGCGTCAAGAACCAACATTGGATCAATATGGCCAAAGACCAATTCCAGCTAATATCTAGTAAGTTTTTTTACAACATTTTTTTAGTGAAAAAAAAAACAGGATTAAGGTCTACTGGTCCTTTAGCCAAAAAAAAAAAAAAAAAAAAAAAAAAAAAAAAAAAATTCAAAAAAAAAAAAAAAAAAATTGTGATATTTTGCTATGCATCACATATCGTTATCTATGATTTTAACGATTTCTATTTAGCTGTTATTAATATGAGAAAATTGGGCCGATTTTTTTCAGAAATCATTCACTTAAAAGAATTTTTTCTAATCCTTTCGCCGCATTCTTTACAAAGAAGATGAACGGATCAGACTCCTTATCTTCAAAATTACTTTATAAAAACATTTATTCTGACACACAAGTCTCTAAAGTTGATATCAATAGGTTGCTGGAGTTTCTATTTGACAACATCTATGTAATTTTTGGAAATCAGGTGTACAGACTTCATACAATCTGTCAGAATTTCGATGGGCATTTTTTGCTCTTTTATTCCTATGAATCAGAAAGCTTCTAACAAGAGAGGGCGACATTTGTCGCGAAGCTTTCATCTCGATATTCAGATATGTCGATTCGAACTATATTCTAGTGAACCTGAAATGAAATACACTACAGAGTGTGCCAAATCATATGTTTCATATTTGGGTGTTTTTCTGACTATACATTTAGACGATAATTATTAAAGGTCAACTAACGACTTAAATTAATGAAAAACAAAATAATTTCAGTTTTCCATCGTTGACTTTCCTTTCTAGTAAAAAATTTAGTAATTTTCAAAAGCTTCTGCATATTTATATCTCCCAACTTATTCAATACTTATTAGCATGCTATCTAAACCAATGTAGCCCAGCTATGAAATAAGTTGGAATTACAAGGATTTCAACATCCTCGTTTAATGTCAGCAGTTCAGATCGATTTCCCAGCAGTTTTTTTTAAATAGAAAATGTTTGCTATCCCTAAAAAATCCACCACTGAATTTACTAATCTTGCATTTGTTTTGCTTTCAGTGCTAGATACAGGGACACTTATCCTCAGTATAGCCGGAACATAGCATCCGAAGCCTGGCGGTAAACTCCGGACAACCCTGAACAATCCGAAATCTTAGTCTGTCATTTCATTGTTATATCTTGTTTGTTTTCATTATACCTGCTCAGTATTGACGGAACGTTAATGTTTTTTTCATTCTCCATCAGTATTACAGATTATAGTATTAGACAATGTACATGATTTGTTATCTCTCACAAATTTGCTTGTTATATATGTATTAGTTTTTTTTTTAAATATTGATTGATACATGGTATATAAATGTATTAATTGAATGTTTGCACTTTAAAGTATTAGTAAACAAAAGTATTACAAAATATAGATTGATCTTGTTCAAAATGCTTGTTTAGGCTTCATGCCAGCTTTTAATGTATTGCATACAGTATTATCATCTGCTCAATTTGTACCCAGTACAAATACATTTATATAGATCTAAAATAAAAGTGTTTTTTCATGAAATCGTTATTTCAATGCAATTTTTATTTTCCAGTGTATTAGCACTTACATGTACTTTGTATGCAAAACTTCAAAGGAAACTGCATGTTTAAATGACAGAAAATAAAAGTTGATAAAAGACGTACAGTGTATATAAAGTTGGTTGCATGCCACGATAAAAAGTGAAAAAAAATCATTTGTTGTAGACATCATTTTAGAGAACATTTAGACTTAATTTAAAAAGTTCCAACCTTGAGTGACCTAAAAGGTCATAATCTTGACTCAAGGTCAAAAGTTTAGAAGTTTGAAAGGAGTTCAAACTGAAGTCATTTCCCCCATGATTTGATGGTACATTTTATATTGATCCAAGGTCAAGGTCAATTAGATAATAAATGGAGTCCAGGATATAACTCTAAGATTTTTATTTGAATATATTTAAATTTACAGACTTAATTGCAATGAATTATTCGCACGACTTTGAATTCCTGCTGGTACTTTATAGCAGCACAGTTAAAAAAAAAATTATGTTTCGCTTTGTAAACCCCTGTGTTTTTAAAAGAAAAAAAAACGAAAACGGGTTCTATGAATGGCTTCCTTTTCATGTCAGAAAACCTGTAATTCTGATTTTGACAAATTCTTGATAATAACTGTAACCGTTAAAACTAAACTGAGGTAGTTCGTTTGTTTGTATGTTGTTTAAGTTCCTTCCCGAGTATTTTTCACTCATATGGAGACGCCACCACTTGCAAGTCAGCACATACATGCATTTCTTAAAAACGTTTGAATATTCACACGATATTTTTTAATTTGCAACTAAAATAAAATAATGCACAAATTATTATAGGCCTATGTGAACATGTACATTCTAAACGCGTGAAAGTTTATGAACTGCAAAAATGCCGTACTTCTTTGCGCGACTTTTCAGTGGATATTCTTCATTATGACGTCACGTCTTTCAGTCGACTTGCGTTATGTTGTGGTTACGTCTCATTTGGAAGATATCAGTCGAGCTGATCGGACGTATAGTTACGACTCTCTCGATTTTTTTACATTTTCTGCTTCACAAAGGAAAGAAATGGCACAGAAGATGCCAGAAAACAAAGATAAGAGGGTATTGCCTCATACTGTATATTTTATTAGACAAATGAGTTTTATAGTTCCACCACGTACTTAATGTGTGTGTGTGGGGGGGGGGGGAGGGGGGGCTCTACCTAGAGTCTTTTACATGCAATCCAAGTTATCCAACACCTCTTCTTTTATACGTAAGCCACTTCTTCAGGATACCCTGGCATTAAATTTAATAAGGTACAAGTATTATTTGGTTGTTTGGCTATTTTCTTCTATACATATCTTAATTTGTATTTATTTTTCATCATCAGCTTTATGGTTGCTATCAAAATATTTTTTAAATATCTCGGAATGTTTTTTTTTTTTATACATGTGCCATGTAAATAATAATAATAAATACTAGAATAAAACATATCACAATTTGTTATTCAAAAACCTTATTACTTTTGTTAACAAGTAACAGTTTAAATACACTCGGTATGTTATCAATTTTACAGAAATGGCAATCTTTTCCTAGCTTTACATCATTTATGCCGTCGTTATTGGCAACGCCATTTATTCCTAGCTTTACATAAGGGTATAGAATTTCTTTTTTTTTTTGGGGGGGGGGGTTAGCGGGTTATAACAAATAAGTAATCGTAGTTACTGTTTAAGAGTAAATTTAAAGGAATAATGGTAAGGGTGGAGGATAACTGCTTAATAAAAATAGCGATGGAATTAAATTATTTATATAGAGATTTCTATCTGTTCAGCCTTACAGATAGATGTTGAATGAGTTTTAGTGAAAGATAGGTGCGGTGGGGTTGGGAGTACTGTTAAACGGCAGTTGTGTGCCATTAAATCATGAACTAGGAGCCAAGTTTCAAAAGTAACCAAGAAAGCGAATTATTAGTGAAAAGAATGTCTCGTATCAAATGCATGTACATATTTATACATAAGGAGGAAACGCTCAATCTCAAGATTTTCCATTAGTCCAAAATCATAGGAAAATAAATTTAAATGTTGTAAACATATCTGCAAGAACTTGGGAACAAGGGGGAACAAAGGGGCTGTGTAGAATTGTGCTTTACATTAATTTTTGCCAACATTATTTAAGTTGTGCCAACTGAATAGTAAGTTTAATGATTTCAGTTTTGTTTTTTTCTTCTGAAATATTTGCCGGTGCCATCCTCAATCCCCTCCCTCTAGACTGAAAATGTTTTTTACGGACCTGATACTAGTATTAAAAAGGGACATTTAACTCAACATTTAGGAAAATAGACCAAAAAAAAAAGTAACAGTAATAAAATCGTTTTTTTAACCCCAGTTTACATTTTTTAAATATAATAAAATCAGTTCTTTCACACTATTGTTGCAGACTCAGTAGTTAAAATAATATGCCATCAAAAAACTTTAATTTTTTTTCTAAATGTCAGAACTCTTATTTTAAAAAGTGAATTTCTTTTTTTTTTCTAATACATTTATAACCATGATTGATTCACCAGTGAAATTATACAGATTTGTTATAAATACAAAATATATAGATGTTCCTTTTTATATTTCAGAAGTTTGGTTATCCAGACAACAAATCCATCAGAACCAGAGCATCGCCATCTTTGGCGTCTGTCAAGGTATAGTATAATGTTACCAATATTATCTTACCTTACAAAAAGAACTGTTTTTAGGTCTCCTGAGTCACTCAGCTGACCTATTGCTATCTGTTTTCGTCCGTCGTCGTGTGTCATGTGTTAACATTATTTTGAACATTTTCAGCTTCTTCTCTGAAACCACCGAACCAATATCAACCAAATTTGGTATATAACATTTATGGGTAAAGGAGAACAAAAATTTTATATTTTTTGGTCCCTGCCCCTCTGGGGCCTGAGGGGTGAGGCAAAAACCGATATCTTTAAAACTTTTTTTTACGCTTGGACATCAAGCAGTCAAATTGTTGGCATGAATGTAATGAGCATTGATTCTTCTATACCAAAATTGTGAAATTCATGGCCCAGGGTCAGGGGTTCTAGTGCTAGGGCGTGGCTGTATAGGTTATATATGTGAAAATGCATTATTTCTTTAAAAATCTTCTTCTCTACTCCTGGGTATTAAAAAAAACTAAGTACATAGTTATGATGAGCAAGAGTGCCTCTTCCAAAATATAATTGTGAATTTTATGGCCCTAGGGTCAGGGGTTCTGGTGTAAGGGTGGGACTCTATTGATTATATAGTGAATTGCATTAAATTTTTGAAAAATATTCTCCTGTGCCCCTGGGTATTGAATAAACTAACTAAGTACAGATGAGCATTGATTCTTCTACCAAAATTGTGAATGTTATGACCCCGGAGTCATGGGTTCTGGTGTTAGGGTGGGCTCTATTGATTATATAGTGAAAATACACTAATTCTTTGAAAATCTTCTCTGCTCCTGGGTATTAAATAAACTAACAAAGTACATAGTTGTGATGTCCTGGGTATTGAATAAACTAAGTACATCGTTATGATGAGCAAGAGTGCCTCTTCCAAATGTGCGAGTTTTATGGCCCCAAGGTCAGTGGTTCTGGTGTTAGGGGCTCTATTGATTATAAGTAAAGCAAATGAATTACCTATATAGCTATAATGATCAAGGGCTTCTCTTCCAGAATTGTAAATTTCAAGGCTCTTGAGTCAGGGGTTCCATAGAAGGGGGGGGGGCGATACTTATATACTGAAAATGAATTAATTGATAAATCTTCCTGCTCCTTGATATTAATCAAACATTTTTGATAAGCAAGGTGCCTTTTCAAAAATTGTGCAATGTGTGGACCCAGGGTCAGGGGTTCATGTGTGGTAGGGGCGCTACTGATTATTGCTGAATATTACTGATTGGTTAAAATGCATTTTTTGTTCCCTTACCATGCCTATGGGTTTTAGGATAAATTGTGAGTGCCATAGCATCTAGCTTTTAAAAACATGAACCAAATTCAATCATTGGGTAGTTGTTGCATGGTGCTCAGGTGAACTATAAGGCCCACTGGCCTCTTGTCTGTTTTTATTTTGATACATTTATAGTATTAATACAACAGCTGGCTCGTATACTTTTTAGCTTATAACTTACTTCAACCATAAGACTGCGATATATAAAGCAGACAATCAAATATAAGATTTCCCAAATTAATAAGCCCGAGTTAGCTGCAGTACAGACCTGAAGCTCTCAAAAAATAATATTGACAGACGAGAGTCTCTCAGTATACTGTATTTTTTTTTCGGAGAGCTATTGTAACAGTTCTCCAGCTAAGCTCGAATGAGCTTAATTAATCTTTGTCTCGTTATTTCGTCATATTTTGTTTTCCATTGTTTTCCTGGCTAAATTTTGACTTGTTAAATTATGATTCTCTCAGCTTTCTTTTTTTGGGGAGGAGGGGTGCAAGTCAAGAAAAAACAGAACCTTAGAGACACGAAAGAGTTAAAAATAGAATGTAAAACATAATTTAAAAAACCTCAATTAAACCAAAAAAAAAAAAACGTTAATATAAGTAATTTAAATTGCGAAATTTTAACTGAATGTTCTTCGCGATTTATAGCACAGTGCACACAATATTATTGAATATAAAAATGGGAACCTTGGTATTATTTTTTTTTTTATTTCTTTTAGGATCATAAACATTTCATTTTAAATTGATAAACTTCTTGAATTTTTGTATTATGTCAAAGTGACCTCGACTAAATAATATTGCTTTTTTTTTTTAATTGTTTTTGAGCAGATAAATAGCTGTTTTAGAAGCAAACGCAAAACTTTTAAACAATCATAACAATTCCTTTACGTTTTATGTTAGTTTATTCATCATATACACTGAACCAAACTTCTAAGTGTTCACCTAACATTTTTGAAGTTTTAAAGAACAAATGCGAACAAAAAATAATTTCTTTATTATTGATTAATGATGCATATTTAAGTTCGATGTTGCGTAAACTTCATGTAAGTATCTCGTCAGAATTTTAAGCAA